TTGATGAGCGTGTTACAGAGTTTCACAGATCAGTGCGTTGATGCTACTGTTGTGTTTCTGAAAGGGAAATGAATTATGAAAGAGACTGTTATTCTGCGAAACATCTACTTTTCTGGTTAAAGAAAGAAAGAAAACTAGGCTATACAGTTTTAGAACAAAATAACAGTCAGCAAATTATGACAAAACCTACATTTTTTTAATGAACTGTCCCTTTAAGTAGGGTAAAAGTTACGATGGTTCAGATTAAAGGTGCACTCAGTAAAGCTGCATGTCTGAGTATGTACTACATATTACAGGAGTAGGTCATCCAGGTACTATACTAAATAGCAGGGATAGGGAAGCATTTCCGATGCAGCCTAAACCTGCGTCCCAATGTGCATACTATCCATCCTAAATCGTATGTGAGATTAGAATGCCCACAACCCACTGTGCATTGGAGCAGGATTTTGATCGGAATTACAAATATGAAAAAGTGTTAAAGAACTACAAACATGGCGGATCTGTGACACAGATGGTTAAGTAGAGAGGTTTAGATGAAGAGGTTTTGAGTGACTTAAATTAACATTTAACCTGATAAAAACAAAGTGTATTTAATGTTATCCATGTTATATTGCAACAATAATATTAACTTTTTTAAAGATCCGCTTGGCCAACTTCTAAATGCGCCATTATGCAAAAATATAAGGAGATTTCTCTGCATGAAAGACCCACGACTGTCTGGCACTATCAACATGCTACTTCTTTTCTCTCCAATTTGCTAGGAAATTAAATATGGAGTATGTACTTTTCCTTCACAGAAAGAGCACATACTTTTAGGGCTTAGCATAAGTAGGTCAATTGGGACACACCGCATTAGTTTTACTCTGTTCAGCTCTTATTTGTCTCAACAGTGATTTAGTACTTTGTTGTGACACCTTTCGATCTGAATGCATGAAGTCTGTTTACTAACTGATGTCCCTTCATAACAGTCCGTGTCATACTACACATCCATAAAATTTGCATTCTTGGATTCAGCACATGTTATACCAGGTTGCGTTGGTGTACTTGGTACTAGTGTACTACTTTGTACTACTTGTTTATAGATTCCATTTCCCACTCAGCAATAGCTAAAGCACTATAAAGAACATTATTGTTATTTTTAATTTGTAGTAGTAGTAGTAGTAATCGAAAAATTGCATGACAGGGCCGGTCATGTGATGTCAACATGGCAGTGCCCATTAGGGATCCCCTCCAAGTAGAATTAAACAGCTTTTACTTGAAAAATTATAGGTCTGTAGTCTTCATATCATATTAGTGTAGGCTACAACATTTTAAGCATATTTATCCAAAGTGGTATTCATTTCACTGAACGTATTTTTTTTTTTATTCTCAAGAAAAATACGGAGTGCACCTTTAAGATCAGTGTCCCAGTCCACTTCAGAGAAGTACAATCTTTATGACTACAGATACAACATTTAAACTACCATATGCCTCACATTGGTTATGTTCTAAAGATCGGGCCCTTTAAATGTGGACTGCACAGTCCAAAAGACGGGCCTTGTTTGTAGAAAACACATTTTTACCTTGTAAACATCCCCGTAGGTCCCGCTGCCTATCCTCTGGATAAGCTCGAAATCCTCTTGCGGATTTCGCCTGGACAGATCGAAACTAGAGTTCATCATGGGGACACCGGCCTCTGACTATTAATGTTAGATTTGCTGGGAGCCCTGACACGGACGAAAGGAGAAAAACGGAAGAAAAAAAATAAACATACGGCGTCAGAAGGGAATCTCAGTCGCAGTACTTCACTAACTTTAACATGGCTTCCCGTGAGCTCCACTGCGCATGCGCTGCTCTCGTAGAGTGGAGAATGTCTGGAATGGGAGGATGAAGACAGGAGGAGGAGAAGGATGGGCTGGGTCAGATGACCAGAAGCGCATAGTCACCAGAAAATAACCTGCTTCTGAGGAACATTTTACACAAATCGTGTAAGAAACATCGTTGGCGCTTTATTTATTTCATTTTCTTCTTTTGAAGTTTATGGTGAGTGACACTGGTTTGATAATTAGTTGTCTTGTTTTGATATTTATTATTATCTTTCATATAAGGCCAACAGTAGTCTACACAAATAGCCTAACGTTTAATTAAAAAAGATGTGCTCTTTTGATCCAGTTGAAAGTAAAAAAAGGAAATTATCCTTGTCCGACCTACTACAATAATAAAATAAAACATGTCAATAATAAAACATAACAGGCTATTCATTATAATTTATAGGCCTAACAATACTGTAATGACTTCATGTATCATATTATTGCATAAGCTGTCACAGACGTTTTTGCTAGAATTTCAGATGAATTCACAAGCAGAACAACAGTCTAAGACACCGAAAATAGAAAGTATTCAATGTAGAATAGAATAGAGTAGAATATTATAGAATAGAATAGAATTGGTTTATGTAAACAGGACACTATTACAAAAATTAAAACAGGATATTGATTTTGATGACTTTATAAAATTTCCTTCTTTGCAAAGCTGTTTCCAGTGCAATTTTGTACAGAAATGTCCCTTCAGGATCTGTATGTGATGATAACAGTGATAGGTTGTGGTTTTCTACATGGATTTTCTTCTTTTCGAGAGTTAAACAAGGCCGTTTGAGCTCTGTTTTCTCACACATATCTCCAAATATGTGACAAATCACTGACAGTTCAACAGATTAACAGTTGTCAGCATTCTCCATGTGGTTGACTTACAAAACAGTCTCATACTTCTTCCTCCATCTTCTTCCCTTTCAGCTCAGACAGGATTGTGATTCAGCGCTATTTATTTCCGAATCACAGAGGAGTGTGTGCCAAGAGCGAGCTTCTGAACACATTTGTACTTACACCATGTGGTTGTTATGAAGGTTTTATGAGCCAGGACTATTCAGTCTAATTTATTTCTCAAATGCCAGGCACACATCCAGGATGCAATTTATTGACTGATTATTAAAGCATGCACTGGCACAGATCAAGGTCTCTGCATGACGGCAGTTATCAAACAACCAACACACACACATGGCATGTATTAGAGAGCTATTCTTGGCTGTTATAGCCTATGTTTTCCAACCCATTGTTCAGGTTTTTAATGCAATGAGCATAATTATATTAATTTTTTGTGCGTCTGTTTATGTAATCATATAGTGAGGGTTAATTTAATTATTTTTCTAATCAATCGGTTATCAATTTCTTAATATTTCATAAAAATATTATTGGTTTGAGGTCAAGCTTGGTCCACTATTAAACGATTATTTCATTATAAACAACCCTCATCCTCTCCTTGTTGGTAGATGGTTTGTGTCCCAAAATGGGATCATATTTTTTCTCATGGCAACAAGCCGGAATAAATTATATGATCTCTTCTACAAAGGTAAACCCATAATCTTTGATAAGCTCACATTCCATTTCCATATTGCTCAGAAAGGATTTCTATACATTACACTAGAAATATGGGGGTTTTATGAGTATGGGCAGAACATGCTTATTGATCTTTAAAAATCTTGGAGGAAAAACATGGGTTTGTATATGGGTAATATGGGATTGATATTAACATTGTCTCATGGGAAAACATCATTAAACTCCCAGCAACTATTTCAGTCTGCAACAAATTCAGAGAAATGCTGTTTAAGGCTTATATGTCATCATGTAGCAAATTTAACAGAAATTGTCTGTGGTATATGTAATAAGAACTTTTTGACTTTCAGTCTACAAGGCCCTGTCAGACATGTGTTTACTCCATTTTCCCTCCTCCCTTTGAGGAACACAAGGCATTGTCCATCTTTTGCTGTTGTTGGCCAAGAAGACCATTATGAACAAATGGGTTGGAGATAGCCCTCCATTATAGGGATTGGCTAGCTATCATAAAGGATCTTGTATCTTTAAAAAAAAAAATCTTGTGAGCAAACTCATATCATTTAATAAAAATAAAATGTGTTCAATGTGAATCATTGAAGTCTCTAGGGATTAGTGAAGATTCCAGAATTTATCCATAATAGGGCAATTGTTTATAGGCCACCCTTTGGTTGTGGATATTTGTTTGTTCCTTATTGTTTTCCTCCATTGTGTTATAAAGAACATAGGGCATGCATTTTACATCTATTTTATTCATATCATTATTATTATTATTACCAATATTATTATTTTGATTTGGTTTGATTTTGTTTTGTTTATGGCTTGTGTGCAACACACTGGTTGTTTTTGATTGACGAGGACAATGTCAACAAAAAAAAAAAAATATCAATAATATTAAAAAAAGGTTCTTAGCTCTCATTAATGGTTCGATGAAGAAACTTTAACATTCATGGAACCTTTCCATTCCACAAAAAGGAATGTGTTCTTTAGGTTATTAAAATGTTCTTCACACTAAAAAAACAACAAAGTTTTTTAAAAAATGATCATGATCAAGATTATTTGAGGAACTCAAAAATGGTAATTCAATGACATAACTCCCCTTCCGCCACTCCCAACACCTTTATTTTTAAGAGTATTTTGACCTTGAAAGTCATGATTTGTTAAGGTCTAATTGAGTAAACTAAATAAAAATCTCTTAATTCCCAAATATTGTGTTCAACGCATGTATTTGAGAGACAAGGGAAGTATTTTTTTTCATTGAATGTTAAAAAAAGTAAATAAATCAAACTTATGAATATAAAAACATATGAAAAACATGAAATATGTTTAATGTTATTAAACATGGATGCAAATTGCATTAAAAGATTGATCATTTTTATCATATCAGGCATTAACCCTAAATATAGCTACCTTTGTTACTAGAACATACCGGAAAACATTTATTCAGAATATTTTGCAGTCTAATCAAGTTAATTTAATTTGTTTTTCCCGTTTGCACAATTCTGCTGCATTGATGTTTGCCTGATCAAACTGTAGTCACCATCATCATCATCATCATCATCACCACAATCATCATCATCATCATCATCATAACAGTTCAGTCGCGCGCTTGCAGGAAACCGCCTCGCCTGTATCCTTGACACACCCATAGCTAGGCTATTGTTGGTACAGTAGGCGCGCGACAACCTTGACATTCCCACACGCGCGTTCAGTTGCACGATGAAATCTTGGTCTACGTGGATGCATCATCCTTTTCAGGAAAAAGGAAAGTAAGACCAGCGGCTACTGCGGATAAAGGAAGATGCACCAACGCCGAACGAAGTGCAGGTAAACACACACGCACGGCCACCGCGCATCCCCATTCACTCAGATGCCCACGGTACCGCACGCGCAGCAGACACACTCCGCTCATTCACCTGTAATGACAGATCGCTGCTCAAAGCGGCGCATTATCCCGGAATAAGGCAAGGAAAGTACGCTTCATGTGAGAGATGACTGAGTGAGTTGCGCGGATGTTGGAGACATGGAGAAACGGGCTCTTGTAACGGCGATCAGCTTGTCCATGAGCCTGCTCGCGCTCATGCTGCTGGTCACGGCGATCTTTACCGACCACTGGTACGAAACCGACACCAGGAGACACAAGGAGAACTGCGACCAGTACGGCTCGGAGTCCAACGACCAGAAGAACAGGGAGATGCCCATCTATCACCTGCCTTTGGTGGACAGTGGGAATGCGAAGCGCAACCTGGCTCCCATGAAGCCCATCCATGTAGGGAGCCGAGAGGAGGAACTGTTGGAGAACTGGAGGGCGATTTTGGGCATGGGCATTTTGGAGACGGAGTGCGGGCGCCCGCTCTTCTCCACCTACTTTGGACTTTGGAGGAAATGCTACTTCCAGGGAATGGACGGGGATATTGACAAACTCATTTTTAAGGGTAAGACCTGGGTGGAAAGTTCATTAAACGCAAAAAAAGCTTAATTCTTTTGCTTAGTTCTGGCTAGCTGAGAACCGGTTCTGTTTTTTTATAGCCATCCCACCAGAAACGAACAATATGGATGAAGTTCAGTTCTGTTGGGGTTCTCAAATCTGTGTTCTTTCTACAGACAGTGTTTTCTGCATTGAATCTACAGCGCGAACAAACACGCGCGACTAGTGTTATCCGATTCTCGAACGCATGACTCTTATGAGTCGGCTCCTTTCAGTCGAATCAAAACAAACAGCGGCACTAGTGTAGTTCGATTCCTGAACAAAATATTCTAATGAGCCGTTTCTTTTCAGAGAATGAAACAGACCATAGACAACAGACAGCTCGACCACAGAAGTTAGATTACCGAACAAATGATTCTTGTTATTCAGCGAACCAGAACATAGCTTTAATAGAAGCTTTTTAGAATTGTTACTCAAGACACGTTTAAATCAATACAGTCAGCTTCTGAATCTCATTGTGAAAAGTAGGCCTAGTGCATAGATAAATTGTTCTTTTATTTTTATTTATTTATTTTTTTTGTTAGGATTGCATTGCATAATTACGCCGCTCTATAAAGAGAAAAACAAAATGAATAGAAAAAATTGTTTGGTAAACGGACGAAATTATTTCATCATTTCAAACAATTCGATCACTTAATAATGGTTAATATTAAGTGATCGAATTGCTATGGTTAGTTCTGGCTGACGCTTTTGATTGTGCAGGCTTTGTATTTGTGAATGATGATGATAATGATGATGGTGGTCTGCATGGTGTGTTGCGTCAAAACATAGGCTAGGTGAGTGTGGATGAATATAACCGCTATGCATAATCGTTTCCTGGAAGAAATATCGATTTAATCCTTTTTGTTCTGACACTTATCCAAATTTAAGCTTAATGGTCTTTTTGCTGACACTAGTGCCTGACACTTTTTGTCTCTCTCCCTTGACCTGTTTGTTTTACTGCAAAGGCACTTTCTGCAAATCAATTTCATGCATGATAGATCTCAACAGAACAAAACTTTATTAAATCGCCAACCAAGCCAGCTGTTTCACCAAAGTTTCCTTTGAAAGAGATGAAAGTCTCAAGGTGAAAAAAAAAGCACAGGAAAAGAGTGATGATGATTAATAGTCAAAACAGATTAAAGAGATCTGATCATGTCAAGATTAAAAGCGGAAGCTGCGTGCCACCTTGCATTCAAATCAAGCCAAAGACACAGACCACTTGACCTTCAGCACCAATGCTTTGATTTGTGCCACTGTCTATTACTGTGAGTCCCCGAATCTGCTCATCAAAGAAGAAAGACACTCGAAGAGCCTCTCATCAGATCACAATGCCAACCAGATCAAAATTCCCTTTATTTCTGCTCTTCATTCGTGACTTGATGTTTGATGTTAGTGTTATTTATTTCATTATTAGTACTATGATTACATACTTACACATATTTACACTCATGTGAGTGTGTGTTTTAAAAATATATATCTCAAAATGCTTTGTTAACTAGAAGTCATGATAAACTGGTCAACATTGGAATTTAATCGTAGTTTTAGTATTCATATAAGTATGGCTGCAACTTAATTTCACTGGGAGAAAACCGTGTAGAATTCATTAGTGAATACGGAAGTGCACGTCTATAGCGAGGGTTCTCACTGGCTTGGTCTCATTTCTCACTTCAATTTCAGTCTCATTTCAATTTTACCCACACGGAACTAGCCAGACTGAATTTATTTTTCAAGTGGCATGTCTGACGTTAACCCAGACAGTGTCTTTTTACTTTAGGCTCGCTGCATGATTACTGCAGTCTTTACTCAGCTCCCAACGCCTGCCAAATCTGTGGGGTTTGGTGTGAACCCAGGCGGAAATAATGACAGAAGGTCACTCTGTCGGGGAGGCGGTGTTTCAGCAGTGCTTGGCTCTGTACTTGTTCTTGGAACGTCCAGGGAAAGACAAACAACACCAATAAAGTATAGCAGAGATTAGTGCACTGCAATGATTTTAAGGTAAAGAAAGAAGGCGTTTCTTATGTTATGAACAACTAGTATCACATGGCAGAAGATTTGGGAGGGATTTCATTGGTAAGAAGACCTTTACAAAGCTGCATCTGAAGGGCAGAATTTGTCCTAAACGAGTGTGTGATCCCTGTGCAGGTATTGCAGAACGATGCACATCTGTCAAGTACCATTTCTCCCAACCCATTAGACTCAGGAACATTCCTCTCAACCTGACAAGGACCATACAGCAGGACGAGTGGCACCTCTTACGTAAGTCTCCCAAAGCTTCCTCGCTGTAGCTCTTGATATGCGCTGAATGTTAAGCAGTGCATGCAAGCTGAAGTTAAGTGTGCTTTGCATAGTGAAAACTGTGCTGTATACATGATATGTAAAAATACCGAAGGATGATGGGAAGGACGCCTACTGTACACTGTAAAAAAATATTGTTGGTTTAACTTGAAAAATGAAGTAACCTGGTTGCCTTGAAATTTTAAGTTGATTGAACTGAAAAAATTGAGTTAATACAATGAAGGAGGTTGATTTAATCATCAGAAACTCAAAATAATAAGTTATCTGCACTGTAAAAAAATATTGTTAGTTTAACTTAAAAAATTAAGTTACTTGGTTGCCTTAAAATTTTAAGTTGATTGAACTGGAAAAAGTGACTTAAAACAATGAAGGAGATTAATTTAATCATCAGAAACTCAAAATATTAAGTTATCTGCACTGTAAAAAAATATCGTTAGTTTAACTTAAAAAATTAAGTAACTTGGTTGCCTTAAAATTTTAAGTTGATTGAACTGGAAAAAGTGAGTTAAACCAATAAGGAGATTGATTTAATCATCAGAAACTTAAAATAATAAGTTATCTGAACTAAATAAACTTTTTAAGTTGATATGACAAAAAGAAAAAATGTTGTGATAACAAATCTTGAGTGTAGAAGTATTTGCTCTGACGATGATTTGATTATTCTTTGCTAAATTCAGTCAAATTTATTAATATTGTGCTTATTGTCAATGAACTGGAGGACCATACTGAGGATCTGGATTTTAACAAGTAAAAATTGATAACACAGTCTATTTGACAGGAAAATGTTATTTGGTATTAGCACACTGTAAAAAGTGATCAGATGACTTAACTTAAAAAAAATTGAGAAACTCATGTGAAATTAAAAAAATTAAATTATGCGAACTTAGGAAAAAATGTCTTAAATTACTACCGTGTTCTTTCATGTTTAACGGGTTATTTTTTTCTAGTGATAAAGTATGCTTTGTTTAATTCATAACATTTAATCAAAAGAAAAAAACAATTAAATCAAAATTATTAAAACTAAATCCACGTAAAATGATCCCATGATGGGAACGATTCTGAAATAAAACCTTTTCTTCTAAAAATGATTATGTTTTCTTTTTTACCCATAAAAAACATTAAAACTTTGGTGTATTTATTTAAATGTACAAGTCTTTCTGTTCTGGAAAAACTGTCCAAAAACCAATGCTCTCAACCAATTAAATGCTCTCCATCAGTTAGCAATAGCAAACAGGGGTTCACAAGTGTGACTTTAACTAAAGGTACTGGCTACCTGAAATTATACATGCCATTGGGTGCTATTGTTCCTTTCCACAATAAGAATACAGCTTATGTGTTTTGTGCTAACGCGGTTATTGCATTTCCTGTCATTGATATGCAATCATAACCTATTCTTGCATCTCCATGATAAGATTATGTGCCCACGGTACTGTTTTGTGTACACAAACTTGGTCAAATGTAATTTTCTGTTGGAATGAATGTTATTAGCTCTCGTGATGTTGTAACGTGGCAAGTCTCAAGGGAGCTTGCAAGCCTTAATTACAGCCCTCGTTAAAATGCCTCCTAATTAAGCTTTTCTTCCTCCATGCATGAGTCCCAATCAGATTCTATAATGTGATTTTAATGTCATATACCTCCAAATTAAACTTACTGAATCAATATCTGCATTGATCAGCAGCTTCAAAACTTTGCATGGAACCAGAAGCGACTGAGCCCACACAGCTCAGTGAAAGTTGCTAATAATAAGGTGTTACCCATAGCTATAGTGTGAGTTGTTGGCTAAGTGGGTGGTAGTCATAGAAACAGTGTGTTTTTCTGTGGTGTTCAGATCTGCGGCGCATCACGGCAGGGTTCTTGGGCATGGCTGCTGCCGTAATGCTGTGTGGAAGCATTGTGGCCGCCGTGGGATTTTTCTGGGAGGAAAGCCTCACCCAGCATGTGTCTGGACTCCTGTTCCTCATGGCAGGTACACAACTCTGCTTATTCGGACTTATTATCTAACTTTCTCTTTTTCCTTGGCTACTTGTTACTCGTTTCGCCAAGTCGCATGCTTTCTCGTAGGTGGTTCTCTTTCCTTTCCAAGTTGTTGTCTACCTTGTTCCTTCTCCCACGTCTCTCCTTCTGTCTTATTTCCCTTGTTTTGTTGCTATATATATTTAATATATGTGTGTGTGTGAGCAGGACGAGAAATATATATTATATATCTAAATCTATATATTACTAGTGGGGATTTTTCAGTGACTCTTTCTGCAGGTCACATCCTTATCCTTAGTAGGTGGCGGTAAATGAATGCTTTTGTAAGTGAATTTCAACTGATTCGTTCAAAAGGAGTCTTAAAGGAGTAGTTCACTTTAAAAAAAAACTTTTGCTGATAATTTACTCAGCCCCATTTCACCCAAGATGTCCACGTCTTTCTTTCTTCAGTCGAAAAGAAATTAAGGTTTTTGATGAAAACATTCCAGGATTTTTCTCTATATAATGAACTTCAATGGGAACCAAACGGTTCAAGGTCCAAAAGACAGTTTCAGTGCAAACTGCAAACTGTTCAAAGGGCTTTAAACGACTCCAGACGATGAATAAGGGTCTTATCAAGTGAAATGATCACTCATTTAAAAAAAAAATAACAAAGTTTAAGTTTTATAAGCTCAAATGGTCGCCTTGCTCTGTTCTGTGATGTGCGTTCGTGACTTTCCTGTTCAAACTCGTTCATCAAAATGAACAAATCTTGATAAGAAGCAAAACGATAAGTCGTTTCAAGCCCTTTGAAGAGTTTGCAGTTTGCACTGAAACTGTCTTTTGGACCTTGAACCGTTTGGTCCCCATTGAAGTCCATTATATAGAGCAAAATCCTGGAATGTTTTCATCAAAACCAAAAAAAATTACAAAAAAATTCATCAAAAATGTATTTTCGACTGAAGAAAGAATGACATGGATGTCTTGGATGACACGGGGGTGAGTAAATTATCAGCAAAAGTTTTTTTTTTTTAAAAGTGATTTGTTCAAAAACATAGCGTTTATTAATCTATCTTCTAAAACCAATAATCATTTTTACGTTACAACAATATCAAGAAATTGCTAACCGATTGATTAGAAAAATCACTCAAACAAACAACCCTCACTGGGCTATCACTGCATTACATAACAATAATTCCTCTCTCTCACTCTTTTTACATCACATGAGGTGAAGAGTTCAGAAGATGTTATTTTCTTCTCATGTGTTGGATCAGTAACCTCAAAGGTTCTTCTTTCCCACAGGAATCTTTTGCACAATCTCACTGTGCACCTACGCAGCCAGTGTCTCATACGACCTATCCAGGAACCCTCCTTTCATCTACGGTCTGCCCGCTGACGTAGACCACGGGTACGGATGGTCCATCTTCTGTGCATGGGTCAGTCTGGGCCTAACAGTGGCATCAGGCTGTATCTGCACAACTTATCCCTTCTTGAGCCGCACAAAGGCTCTTCGCTCCAAAACGGCAAGGGAGTCATCAGTATGAGCGCCCCCTGTGGCCTGGAGGACTCAGCAAAACATTAATCAGCACTTGGCGCTTTAGGAAAACAGATTCAAGTGGGACTTCATGTTGTATGGAGCAGTTTTGAATGTCTTGTAGATTTCTGATCCCTGATGTGTTGATGTTATACAGAGTGAAAGACAAGACTGTTGGATTTCCTGTGTGTCTTCTATACACATTTGCTTACAAATCTCACACACATAAAAAAAAGAAGAAAAATACACACAGATATACAGTATGTGTGAATATAATGAAGAAAAACCTTTGATTTGAAACGAGTATGTGTATGTTTTTGGGTTGTTGTGATGCAGTCGTTCTCTGGATCAGGTGACACTTAGGATCTGAGCCACAATTTTTTTATGCAAACCATCTGAAATTCAAATGATTGCTCTGATCATGGTCAGTATTATTTTTTTATTATGCGATTAAAGCATATGTTTTGGTTTCCCAACCACGTGCAAATGGATACAAGTCGACTAATCATTGGCTCTAAATAAAAAAAACAGCTAAAAAATGTAATCAGGGATGAACAGGACGCTTCATGTCACCACATCAGACAAATGTATAAAGGCATGATTGCATATAGCCTATATCACCTCTGGGTAACAGCTGGTGGCTGATATTCAAAAAGATTGAAAAATCAAAGAGACGTGAGAAGTCTTGAGATCTAAGATGTGGATATGCAATTTCGTGATTGGATGAAATGTCTCTGAACTTGAACGCAATCGTAATATGGCAGCATGCTTAAAGTGGATGCTCTCGAATACCAGCCTCGCTCATGAAAGGCCTCTCATGACGTCACATCATTGCTGAAAATACAGATCCTTCAGTCCTACGAAGCAACGCTAATATGAAGCGACGAGGAGTTAATTAACTGCAGGATGTTGTTTTCCAAACTGAGCCAGAAACAGTAACATATCCCTGAAACTGTACTGTTTGCCTCAAAACTTCTACTGTGTTTCTGAAAGTGTATCGTAAATAAAATATTATAATGATGAAATAAAGGTCTATGAAGAAACTGAACGGCTTGTTATACGTGCTATTGTTTTTGTCAGACATATGGCGACTTGTTTTAAGCAGTGCCAGCATGTTTTCTGCTTTCTCTTTTTTCAAGAAGAATACTAGGCCACCTGTGCAGAAATATTAAACAATGCCATACATTTCACCTCATATAGCTATGATGTTTTAATCAAGAAAAGCTGTTTATAATGAGCAAAACTGAAGCTAAAAATGATAAATGTATAGGGGTTGGGGGTGATGGACTAAATTTTGACGCAATTTTCCCATTAACTTTTATATTGAGTGCCATGGACTATATATATATATATATATATATATATATATATTAGGGCTGTGAAATGATTAATCGAGATTAATCGCATCCAAAATAAAAGTTTGTGTTTACATAATATAGGTGGGTGCACTGTGTATAATTATTTTATATAAATACACACACATGCTTGTATATATTTAAGAAATATTTTCATGTATTTACTGTATATAGATTTATGTATAATTTATATTATATAAATATAAATATTTTATATAGAAATAATCTTTTTTTTTTCTAAATATAAAATAATAGACATATATATATAAATTATACACAGTGCACCCACATATATTATGTAAACACAAACTTTTATTTTGGATGCAATTTGACAGCTCTAGTATATATATATATATATATATATTATATATATATATATATATATGAAGAGTTCAGATGCAAAAGCCTCTAAGTGCCATTTGAAATTTTCTTCTAGAATGATCATTTTTATCAAGCTTGTATATTTAAGTTCAGTGATTTCACTTAAATAGCAATGATAATTACCTATTAATTGTTATTTAAGTGAAATTACTGAACTTAAATATACAAGTTTGATAAAAATCATCATTCAAGAAGAAAATTTCAAATGGCATTTAGAGGCTTTTGCATCTGAACTCTTCATATATATGTATATATATAATTTAGCTTCAATTTATTTTTGAGTTTTAGTCATTTTAGTAATTAATTTCAAGTCTTTTGTCTATTATTTATATTTTATTTTCTTTCAGCTTTATTTTAATGAACAACAGTGACCTGAAAAATATCAAGGAAGTTTAAAATTGTAAATTTTCAGGCCTGGAAAACTCATATAATTTGAACAATCTTAAAACCAAAGCTCTAGAGCATGGTCAATGTTCCTAGTTATCCTCAGAGCTAAATGTATAAAATGTACTAAATGATCTTTGTGAGTATAAAAATCTCTATTTATTTAAAATCCCAATATCACCATTTATAGAACTTGAATGGACAAAAGGTGTGGCTGCACTGTTTATGAAAATGAAGCATTGGTAAAGAATGGTTTTCATTATTAAAAAAATGGATATGCATTGTAAAAATGTTTTTACATTTATTTACCTTTAAAGTCTGTTTCATTTAATTTATGTTGAAATTATTATTTCCAAGTTGATTGAACTTAAAAATTTAAGGCAGCACATTTTTTTGCAGAATATGACTTTCAATTATTCTGCCACAAGAGGGCGCCATATCATCATCAATATACACATAATAAACCTTTGTCTAAACTCTGAAAAGTTTTTATTTTTTACAAGGTACTTAAGTTTTATTTTATTGTGGTAAGGAAGATGGCGGTAACATATTGTGCATTACCCTTCTGTCAAGTAGGCTATGCCACAAAAACAAAAAAGGACAAAACTCAAATTGTTGAAACCATAAACAATGTTCCAGATAAAAATATTGTATTATGACATTAATCAAAATGAAACCTACAGGTATCGAGCACTCGCACAAGCGAGGGAAAACTACTTAAACATATCAGCGAAATGTATTGTAAATGAGGCTGGGGGTCGAGTGAACCGTGCTGGAGAAGATAGTGCCATCACCCGTGTGTGTGCGTGTTTGTGACTGTGTGTGTGCCAGCACAGTGATATGGCCAGACCAAAAAAAAAAAAAAAGTGACAAAAATTAAGCTTTTACCAGTGCACTCATGTCCGCAAATGGGTAAAATTAGTCATATATCCTGAATTTTCTATTCGAAGATTGAACACGATATACAATAAGTTCATATTCCCAGTGTCTCAGTTGACTTTCTATCATACATGTTGTACTGTGATTTACAACCAAAAATAAAAAAATACAGCCTTTTCTTCATAAAGGGAGAAGTCACAAAAAACAGGAGAGATAACATGCATTCCTCATAGCATTAAAAAGAATTAAAACAGATTCCGAACTTGCTTTTGTACAAAGTATTTTCTCACAGATCTTTTTGACAGACAATAAGATTTGATTGTATGAACTAAAACTACTGATACCTGCACTAGAAACGTATGGAAACGTCTCAAGAGTTCATGAAAAAAAAAAAACCACCCATAATATACAAGTTCGGACACACACAAAATATTGCAATACATTTAATATTATTTTCAACTGTCCTCAGTAACTTGCTCCTATGTGAAAGTCTGTGGAGTTGAGCTGAGAGACGCAGTCCCATGTAACCAGGCTGGAAGGTGGCACAGTGTTTTTCCTCTATATCTATTTTAGGTTACTTGAAAACATTGAACTCACTGATTATGTCAATTTCAAATAAAATCATATCAAAGGCTTATAATACTGACAAATCCACACTTTTATGCATTAAAATCTGAAGGGAAAAAAAGTCTCTTGACATCGTTCGTTGTTTAAAACACCCGTTTGTAGGTCAAAAAACTATTTTCATCTTTAACCACAGATAAAGAGTTTGTGTACACATGATTTCTGCTTATTGAACAGCAAAATGTATCAAGTATATGAATGAGATTTAAAATGACAGTGATTGCGTGATCACTGAACCGAGTAACAAATTGTTACTCAAAGGTCATTCATTTTTGTACCATTTTGCCAAATGACATCTTTTTTTTTTTTAGACGTCATCTGCTGTTGTCATATACGGATTTCAGTCAAAAGGCCCATTCACATCAAGGACCGTAACAATAACGATAAAAATATAGTTATAATTATATTTTTATAAATGTGAAAGAATAGCAGAGCCCACACCACAAATATAACGATAACGGCACAGAGAAACAATATGGTTGGAGTCACTTACATTGTAAAAAATAATTGTTGGTTTAACTTAAAAAAGTAAGTTACCTCGTTGTCCAACAAAAATTGAGTTCATTGAAATAATTATTTTTAGTTAATGCAATGAAGATTGCTGTAATACATAGTAACTACACTGTAAAAAAAATATTGTTGGTTTAACTTAAAAAAATTATGTAACCTGTTTGCCTTAAATTTTAAGTTGATTGAAATGGAAAAAGTGAGTTATTACATTGAAGGAGATTGATTTAACCATCAGAAACTCAAAATAATAAGTTATCTCAACTAAATAAATTATTTAAGTTGATTTGACAAAATAAAAAGTGTTGTGATAACAAATCTTGAAAATATTTTTTACAGTGTATCTGAACCACATTAATTGCCTAAATTGATTTGACAAAAGATAATACGTTTTTTACAGTGCAGCTGATGAACGCTAAAAACACTGACAGCCAATCAGAATCCATCCTGCTCGATTTAAAGCAGCAGACGGCAAAACCGCAGCACGACACTGGTGTAGACACTAATATAGTTATCTTTATTGGTGTGAAAGGGCCTACCAGTCAACCAAATCAATAACATTTCCATACTACGTTTTTCATAAATCTTTACAGCTTTCTAAAAAAACAGTTTTTTAAAAAGCCCCTTTAGTTCATCCTTTCTTCTTTGAAGACTAGAATAACCTCGACAGCAGAAACACGTGTATTCAAACACATACAAAACATACAGTGGAAAACACAACAACGCACAATAAAACACCTGCAATCCTCCGAGGGTACTTTGAAACCCTTTTTTGAACCCTTTCCTCCTGTTTACGAGGGTTTTAACGGTGGACTCCTGTCTGCGGCATCATCTCGTGCCTGATTTAGAAACCCTTGATGATGCAATAGGCCTCCAAGGAGGACAGATGATGTACATCAGCCAGAGACTGAAAAAAACGTTGTGGTCAGGATTTTGGGTGTCCGCGGGCCACCAAGTTCCCCCCCGATCTCGGGCCTTCGGCGGTACATGAGGACGGCGACACAGATGAAGGCAAAGATGGTGAAAAGGGTGACGGAGAACGCTAGCGTGCCGGGCTGCACACGGAAGTACTCGCCCTTTGCCTGGTGGTATACGGCAGCGATGGACCAGGCCACCCCGATGCCCAGGAACACGTTCACAGCATTGCTGCCCGTCACATTGCCGATGGAGGCGTCAGCGTACTGATCCTGGGTGGCTGCCACTTTACTAGCGAATGTGTCTGATTTTGAAGAGGTGGTGAGAGAAAGAAAGACAGAAAGGAATAAATATTGTCAACAGCTCTGTCAATAAACGGGCGAATCTTATGAAACTTGAAATGAACATGTCCAGTTCATATTGTGCCTGGAAATCAGAGTTTGTGTAAAGGAAGTTAAGCTTATTTTTAGGTCCATTAAGCTTTGTGACAATACACATTTCTTTCCAAATTCTCATTGTAATAAAAAATTCAAAAATGTGAAATGATCGCATGCATATCTAAATCGCATGATATATCATTTATTACAATTTAAATGGTTTAGTTGAAAATGTATTATTTGAATTATATAGTACATTTAAATTATGCTGATTTTACGGAAGCGTATTGCATTCACTTGAGGAAACCAAATCTACTCTGTTTTTCCGAATTAATTAGTTAATTATCTCAGAATTACAAGATCATTTTTCATGGAAAAAAGTTTTTGCTCTGTTTTTCAGAATTTCTGAGTTTTTTAGATAATCAAGTCATTAATTCAGAAAAAGAGCAAAAACAATTTCCATGAAAAATTATCCTGTAATTCTGAGATAATTAACTCAGAAAAACAGAGTAGATTTTTTTCTTCAAGTGAATGCAATACGCTTCGTAGATTTACGTAAATATATATATATATATATATATATATATACCAATTCAAAATATTTAAGCATTACCAATTCATAATAT